AAAAAACTGGGATTAAAGTCCAAAACCTGACTTGAAATAACCTAACAAATCAATCGGGGCTAAAGCGGTTCCATTAATGACAAATTAAATTCACACAATCTCACTAATTTGTGCACGCTTATTCTTAAGCAGCCCTTAATGTCGATCATGGCTCTAATCGATCCACCATCACAAACAGCGAATATATGTGTGCTGTTTAATGCATTTGAGACGTTGTGTTTTCCTCAGTGCATAACTGACATGTCACAGGTATATTTTTCATCTGTAAATGAAAGTCATGCAAACATAATATTAATTTTGCTGTCAGGAGTGGGCGAGTGAACAAGCGCTGCTGCACGCATGCGCACTAAACGGACTGAGCGCAATAATTCTGAGTAAAATATACATTTTGCTAAAATATTTGGTGTTGGACATTAAATGTGTCTTTTGTAGAATTTTAAACCTACATAAAGTGTATTTTTATGATAGCAGTAACTATAAAGGGACTATTGTAATAGGTAAATCAAATGTAAGCTAGTAGACTACAGTACTAATTACTAAGCTCAAATGAGTTAATGCGTGTTTCTTATAGCAGTTAAAATGTAGTCATTTTTAATTCAGTGATTTTAACTTTTAATTTATGCTTTAAAGAGCAATTTTAGTTTGTAATGTTGTAATGTTCTGAAAACTATAAAAGGTACAGCTGTAATACAACCAGAGAGAAAGGCTGCATGGCTAGAAACTGTAAAAAAAAAAAAAAAGTCAAATAATAGTATGTGAGAGAGGGGTAATATATCATTGGGTTCCTATTGGCCAGTGTTAGAGGAACTCAGCTTAATCTGACAGTTAACCTGCTTTAGACCAGGTTAGTTTCCCAGCATAAGTTGCCACAGTGACTAAGCTTGATCTAGGCCTATGTTAAATTTGCTTTATGGAACCAAATCATTTGACAATGAGTCAAACTAACTGAAATAAGCCTGGCCTATTTGGTTAACTTGTTTTATGAAACAGGCCTCGAGGGATTAAAAGTGATCAAATTTTCTCCATTGCATCGAATCGAATTGCATGTTGAACTTGAATCGAATCAGATCGCACTGCATCGTAACAGGGGTGAATCGTATCGCATCGCATCGGTAGCTGCTTCATATGTATCTTTAATGTAT